AGCTCTGCCAAGCTTAAGGGTCTTGAACAAGGATTTTCGAACAGAAGATTCTACTGTATTGCAAGGTTTAATTTGACTGGACTGTACCTCTTATTCCATGATTGGATTGTTGCATGATTTATAGAGTCAATGACATGATTTATAGATCATTTCTGTGGATAACTAGCTTGTGGAGTAGAATGTATGGCCTGCCTTGATAGGAGCAGAAATAACAACTGGAACCATTAGGTGAATTCTGCCACATTGTCTTGCTATTTGCTTTCAAGCTCAATAAACATCTTGTATTCCTTGACTTTCAACCTGCCCCCAGCCCCTTTCTTGTGACCTCTGGAGCTCCTCAAAAATTCAGGTGAATACCACCATGCCAATCCTGCCTCTTTCATTAATGACCATCCCATGCCTGCTGTGGGTCTGAGGCCACTGTTCTGGAAGTCCAACCTTTGATAGAAGTAAGGACACCCATCACTGTAGAAAAATAAAAGTCTGAAGATTGGAGATTGGAGACAGAAGGAGGCCCACCTTCTGCCAAATTTGGAATTTTACAGAATGTTACAATCCCAGAATTGAAGACACCGTTGAGGTCATTGAATCCAACTCTTTGTTTAGTGCAAGGATCCAAATGAAAGCATCTCTGATGCTTTCAATAGATGTGTTGATGTCAACACACCCACTGAATGGTGTCCACCAACTCTTTGGCTCATTGGCTTCACTATTGAATTGCCATTAAAGCTAGGAAGTTTTTCAAACCATCTATCAAATCTGTTTCCTGTAATCTCAATCTGATATGCAGTAGTGTCTTGATCTCTGAAATGGTCAGCTGCTGTCAGCAAGGAATTGTGGGAGTTGTCGTCCTAGCCGTATAGAGAGCATCGGGTTGCCTGCTCTTGACTTGGAAAATTAAGTAGATCTACTGATTAAGGGGAGATACTGCTTAAAATAACAGCAAGTTCTCTTCCACCTATATTGTTTAAAAGTAGAATGAAGACATACATGCAGGAATGAAAAGCACTGTAGAAAAAGTAGCCTCAACCCCAAAGGCCAACTATAAGGAAATGGTCTTAGTGGGTTGACCCCATGGAGATGGTCAGGGAATAACAGAAAACCATAGGGAGTTTCTACTTCTGGCTTTTAAAGGTGTTTCTCTGAGACTTCCACCAGGACCAAAAGATTGATCAAATATTGGAGATGAAAGCAAGAATTGAGAAGTCTTTTTTTAGTGCTTGGACTTGGTAGTAGGTATACATTTTCTTCTCAACAATTTCCTTGTTCGTTTTGGCTTTCTTCCACTGAAGCATATAACTTGCTCATTGCTGGCACATGACTTTTTAATTTTAAGCAGGCGATGAGGGATGGAGAGTTGGAAAAAGAATAAGGCCATTGTCCCTAGAAGTGGCCCAGCCATACCTGACCATCTCACCCCTGAAGTATGAGGAAATGATATATTATTATTTTTTTCTGCCTGGCTTCAGTTCAAGAATGTGACAGAAAATGGAGTGGTTTTGGGAGCCAGGCATCTCCTCACCTTCAGGATAAAGCTGTCTATTTCTTTCTTTCACCAGGAGAGATTCTTGAAGAGATATAATAGAATGGAATAGAATGGAATGGAAAGGAATGGAATAGAGTAGAGTAGAGTAGAGTAGAGTAGAGTAGAGTAGAGTAGAGTAGAGTAGAGTAGAGTAGAGTAGAGTAGAGTAGAGGAGAAGAGAAGAGAAGAGAAGAGAAGAGAAGAGAAGAGAATAACAGAGTTGGAAGGGACCTTGGAGGTCTTCTAGTCCAACCCCCTGCCGAGGCAGGAAACCCTACACCACTTCAGACAAATGGTTATCCAACATCTTTTAAAAAACTTCTAGTGTTGGAGCATTCACAACTTCTGGAGATGTTGAAGGTCCCATGAGATATTTCTTCCTTTTCCCCCAAAGACTTTATAAGCTTCAGTTCTTTTACTGTGATTGAATCCAAATCCCATCTTGAAAAGAGAACAGTCCAACACAACGGACTTTACATTCATAATATTATACTCAACATATTAAAACCAAGGAAATCTGTGTTTTTGTCATCATTTCAGGAATGACTGGCCTTCGTGGACTCTTCTGAATGTATGTCCCATGTATGGTAACAACTACAGATAGTCCTCAATGTACGACCACAATTGAGCCCAAAATTTCAGTTGCTAAACGTTACAGCTGTTAAGTGAGTTTTGTCCCATTTTGCAACCTTGCTTGCCACCTTGCTTTTAAATGAACCAGTCAGTGCAGTTCTTAAGTTAGTCACCCGGTCGTTAAGTGAATCTGGCTTCTCATTGACTTCACTTGTCAGAGGGTCACAAAAGGTGATCATGTGACCCCCGAGACACTCAACACCAATAAGACCAAGGAGCTTATAGTGGACTATAGAAGAATAGAATAGAATAGAATTTTTTATTGGCCAAGTGTGATTGGACACACAAGGAATTTGTCTTGGTGTAAATACTCTCAGTATACATAAAGAAAAGGTACATTCGTTAAGAATCAAAAATCATAACATACAACACTTAATGATAGTCATAGGGCACAATCAACAATCAAATCATACTAGGAAACGGTCAATATAAATCGTAAGGATACAAGCAACAGATCAGACATCCAGCCCTTGCTTATCAATAGAGACTGAGGAGAGCAAGTGGCCAGTTTTAAGTTTCTGGGTGTTACCCTAAAAGAGGACCTGACTTGGGGTGCTCACATTGCAGCACTGGTCAAAAGGGCACAGCAGATTATACTACCTGAGTCTTCTCAGAAAACAACAACTGAATGGAAAACTCTGGTGACCTTCTACCGCTGCACCTTAGAGAGTACCTTAACTTACTGCACCTCTGTATGGTTTGCCAATTGCACAGTGGCAGATAGGACAGCACTCCAGAGGGTTAATGTCATTGCCCAGAAGATCATTGGTTGCCCTCTCCCCTCTTTGGAAGAGCTTTATAGCTCCCGCTGCCTTAAGAAAGTTCAAAACATTCTCAAAGATCCATCTCATCCTGGGCACCCCCTTTTTTTGAACTATTACGGTACAGGATAATAAAAACAAGGACAAATAGGCTGAAAAACAGCTTCTATCCCAGGGCAGTAACTCTACTGAATTCTACTGTATAGTGCAATATGAATGCAATATCAGGGGTTTTCAATTCAAGGTATAGAATGTGAAGGATGTGTGTTTGTGTTTATTTTCATAGTCATAATGTACACTGAAGGTGGTACTTAATTTTGTTGTACGAGGTGCAATGACAATAAAGTAAAGTAAACTAAACTGTCATAAGTATGAACCAGTTGCCAAGTGCCTGGATTTTGTTCCCACGATCATTAGGATACTGCAACGGTCATAAGTGTGAAAAATGGTCATAAGTCACTTTTTCAGTGCCATTGCAACTTTGAACAGTCATTAAACGAACGGTTGTAAGTTGAGGACTACCTGCAAAGGCAAATTGTATTTGTTTTTGTTTTTTTTTAATTAACAATAAATTGCTGGTGTTATTGAATGCTTTAAATAGGTCATTTGCAAGAGGCGAAAGTAGAAGTTGTAGATATCTGTTTGCTTCAAGGCAAGAAGTGACTAAAAACCTAAATTTTGGTTTTAGCTTCCTGCCTGTAGAGTTTGGATTCAAAAAGATGATTTCCAATGCTCACTTTGGTACATTGCTCAGTTTAAATTAAAACAAGGAAGAGTTTCAGTTTCTGATTTACTCCTCAGAGCTCAGTTTGCTTCCCGTTTAAATTTTGCAAAAAACTCTGAGGTAAGTTCATCCAGGGAGTAACGACCCAACCAAGGTCACACCATCGATAGATCTGAGACCCTTCTAGCCCCTTCCCCTGACAGCTTGTCAAGTATTGTATGTGATTCTTTATCCTGAATCTGGTTTCCCTCTTCTGCTGTAATTAGATGCCATTTTCTATTAATTTCATGGCTCCTTCTGACAGCTCAGGCATATGTCGTCAGCTCTTCATTACTTGGGGGGACAACACTTCCCTACCTCTCTCTGATCATGTAACTGGTTCAAAGTCATGAAGAATGCTAACCATGATTCCTGAGGGAATCCAATCTCCCAGCTCAAGAGGAAAAAAAAAAGTTGACTTTTGATAAGGCTCAACTTCCAAGAGCAGAGAGGGAGAAAGTTTGAGATTGGAGGAAGGTTCAGTTCCTCCTAAGTGTAAGGAGATATTATTTGGGTTACCAAAGGGATCAATCATCAGGAAACGATTTCTTGGAGAAAGATCAGTTAGCTTACAAAACTGATGAGAATTTGGGTTATCATCTGTGGTATGTTAATTTGGGAGTTCCAAAGGTGCTTTTCCAAAAGGCAACTGGACTTTCTATGTTTTTTCTTGAAGATGTTTTACTTCTCATCAAAGAAGGCTTCCTCAGTTCTGAGTGAATGATGGAGAATGGAAGGATTTATATCATCTGATCATTAGCTCTCTTTCTGAGAGTCATTGAGGCCACTTGAGGGGGTTTATTTGTGCCCTCAGAGACACCTGAATAATGCAAATGGGAACTGAGAATCTCCATAGATGTTAATTGGGGAGGAAACCTCAGGTTGTTTAAGGGGACTTATTAATTTATGAAACTTAGGAGCAAAGGGTGTTGAACTAAGTGTATGAGGAAAGGCTCCTAAAGAACAACCACTATTTTAAATGACTATTTTTTAAAAAAATATTTAACATTATTTGGAATTAATGACGAAATCATATTTCTTTAATGCAATTTCATAGGAGCCATAATAGAGCAATTTCACAACTTAGTCACAGAAATCTCCACTTAGATGTTATGTAAAAAGTTGATTTCCCAGGATGGTTGTGTGGTGTGGTGTTGGCAATTTAAAACAAAACTCTAGAACATTGATTTTCTCTGTGCAAAAACACATTCTTTCTTTAAATAAAAGTACTCAGGTGTGCCAACAAATCTCTTATTACACAGTAGTAAAATGTCAATCCCATGGATTATTTTGGGATTACATACTTTTTTCCCCCTAGAATGCACACAGGTCATCAAAAAAGGCAATTTTGTGACTGTGCCACCCCTCACGGTTCAAAAGCTGAATCCTTGCGTGATGGAGTTGTGCAAGTTTTATCAACGGTGCTTCTGTACCAGAGACCGGAGTTACTCAAGGGATCACACTATGAGGTAAATCTAAAAATGGTTTCATGTACGTTCGTAGTTAGGAATCTAGATATTACAAGTTGTGTAGCTTCTCACAAGGGAGCTTTGTTTTGGTGAAGAGTTGAGTGATACTCTCCTTCCAAGCTGATGCTTGAAGCAAGAGAGGTCCATGTTTTACAGAAGAAAGCCAATCCCCCATGTTGGTTTCTGGATCTTTATAGTCTCTCCTAAACTCTACTTCCCCATCTTTTCTTATGAAACTTTGGTGAGATTGCCACAATGCGTGTCCTTTACCAGCAGCTAGCTTTGGTGATCACCATTGGACAACACCTTCTCTTGCATGTTCTCACCCTCAAGCATCAGGAAACTTCTAGCATCTTCTAGAGTTCCCCAACCATGACGTTCCAAACTAGACCAATGAGGCAGACATGTCACTTCAATAACGAGTGGGTGATAGATGAAGATACCAGAAGTCATCGAATGACCCCAAAGATGGTTCTTCAGAGGAAAATTCATCCTTCTGGTGAACCCCAATTATCTCAAACAGGCTCAGCACATATGAGGGAAGAATGTTTCCTTGAGTTTACATAAAAAAAATTATAGACAAATCATTAAATATTTCTGCACCTGATTTCTGGGTCTAGAAATGTGAGGAGAGGGAACAGGACATCAGTTGAATTTGGCTACTTTAGATTTAATTTTATGGGTTTAATACAATGGCCTCCTTAAAAGGGATCTCATCAGATTTAAGGAATGGGCATTAACAGAACAAACGTGATTCATATTTAATAAGTAGAAATCAAGCTTCAGGATCAGACCATTTCTTGGATCTATTTATTCATCCATTTACTTAGTTTTACAGATGTTAATATACCACCCCACTTCGGAGAGTGTGGATTACAATGTTGCACAAGTAAAACCAGTAAGAATTAATAATAAAACCATCAAATATATGAAGATAGCCCAGTCCAATCCACCACCCATACTATCAGGAACAGAATGTTATGACTCTGCAAAGAAGTAAATAGGATATCAAGATATGAATATCTGGGAATGCACAACAATGAACAATTCTGCTTCCCATATATTCAAAAAACATGTGATAATAGATACCTTGTTCTTCCCTACCTAATATGTTTTTTGTCAGCCATATTCTGTGTGCAACAGTCAGACACCTTGGTTCTTGTGTGAGAGAATTTCATAGAGGAGAAGCAACAGTTGATGATTGTTCTCTATTCTCCTTATTTCCCATTTGAATACACAGCTGAATTTTAGCCTGGTAGAAATATAACTAAATTTTGTTGCAGGGATCTGTAAGATTAATTTTCTTGGTTTTTTTTTTCTTGGGTTTTTTATTTTTTTTTTTTTTTTGGGGGGGGGAGTGCAAAACAGCTAAGTTTCTAAACCCAGTGTTCCTTGTTTTTGAATTTATCACCCAATAAATTTATTGTGACCTTAGCAAGGAATTACCATATAGGTTTTCATCTCAGAAGCAATAGAATAGGAGAAATAACAAGGCCTCAGAGAGAATACAGGAAAAATAAAATGAACTTCTGTTCCAATAAAATCTATTAGGGAGTTAAAAGCAAAGGAAGCATCGAAGCTGTAGTTTCAGTAGCCCTGAAATAAGAATTGACTTGGAGAAGTCCTTAAGATTTTGTATTTCTTATTGCTCAGTCTTGAAAACAATGTTTTGGAAGTCAATTTTTGGAAGTCAAGTATGTTTGCTACTTTAATTTCAGACATCAGCTGAGGATTTCAATCCATGAATACACGATTCAAAATATATCCTGTTCATCTATTGATATTGATTTACATTTTAGGTACTGCATTCAAAACTATCCATGGTTCTTTAAAAATGCAGCATTTATTTGTGAAAAGGTCAAGAGATCAACTTATTCTAAGAGTAAGTAGACATCCCATCTGGTCTATTTCTGTGGGATTTTGCTCAATGCCCATTGCAACTATGTCCTCTTAAGTGTATCCTCTTAAGTATGTCCTCTTAAGAAATCTACCAGTTAATAAACTATCTCAAACTTTTCTTTAATTTTTCAACTTTCTACCACCAAGTTTTGGCAGAAGAATGGGAAAATGGGAAGATGAAAAATCTTAATTTTCCCAATGATTGTTTGTGAGTAACTTGACCCCTTGACTGCACTTTTGACATGTTCAAGTCATTGAAGTCATTTTGTAGAGGGAGAAGGTGGAGAGCCACCATAGAGCCAGGTATGGTGGGATTCATAATGAAGCTTCATATTAAAGCTTCATTTGTGGAAGTATGAAGGTTCATGAAATCTGTGGAGTTCTTGGCACTCTTTCAGCTTGTTTTCTTGCAGACATTTCATTACCCAACAAGGTAATATCACCAATGTTAGAAGGGAAGGGAATTTGTTCTCTGTTTATCTACCAGTGACTTGCTCTGTCAGTGTTGGTGGGAGTGCTTTTGGTGGGTTCCTTAATTAGATTGTTACTTATTGTTTGATTGTCTGAATAGACATTTCCTTGATTGGGGTATTGTTTACTGCTTGATTGTTTTTCTGGAATTAATCCTGGTATTAATCTCTACTTATCTGGGTGTTGACTGCTGGTGTTTTGGTCTTTTGTTTCCTTTTTAGATGGTTTTATTGTCTTTTTTGAATGGTATGTAGCTGTTATTTATCTCTACATGCCCGTTGATCGCTGATTTGTCTGAGGCTTCCAGAAATTCTCTAGCATTTTTGTACCTAGGCTGGTCTAGAATGCTCAGTTTCCCCTTTGACATTATGATTAGGTTTGTCCATGTCTGCTGAAATTAAGGAGTTTTCAATAAACAAACCATCCAATAATAAACTGCATCCTAATCACTACCCAAGAACACTCCCATCAATGTTGATAAGGCAAACTTTATATAAACAGAGCAAACCCCACTCCCTTCTAACACTGATGATGTTGCCTAGTTGGGTAATGAAACACCTACAAGAAAACAACCAAGCTCAGTCAGCACCAAGGTACTTGGTTTAACCCTGAACAATAAATATTCTCTTCTGTCTAAGTATGAATTTCTTCATCTGCATTGAACTGTCCTTTCTTTTTTTTCCCCCAGCATTGAAACAGAAGTGCCTTAAATATATTTGTAAATCCATCTGATCTCCAAGAGGAATTGTTGAGAACAAGGCAACATGGAAGAAGTCCACAGCTTTATTCCATCATCCAGTGTGAGAACGCGCACACACACACAAACACACACACACACACAGAGACCCCTAACAGAAATGGAAAAAGAAGATTTTCCTTGAATGGCAGGATCTTCTTGCTTGCACACTGATTAAACAAAGTTAGTAATGAATAGAAGGTGACATTCACAAGAAGAAATTTACCTGAAATGAAAAGTTATAATAATTATTGTTATATTTCCTAAAGAATGTTCCATAGCTTGTTAGTGAATGTAAATTGCTGGACCCTTAATTGTTTGAAACAACAGGGAGACAAATTTGAAATTAAAAATGTAAGAATTACATCGTAGTTCTGTCTTCACTTAAACAAGAAATATGTGATAAGATTACTGCTGTTTATTTCTTTACTGATATTTTGTGTTACTTTGGGATGTCAAAGCTCAATTTAAGGTTCTCCCTTATTGATGAGTAAACCAGTTTGACATTCCATCTTTATAGATTTACAGCACAGATTGAAATGGTTGACTGTAAGAGCTCGCCAGAAGAATTCCATGCTGAAAGATGGGATGCTTGGATGCACCTTTTGGTCTTTTCATAACTAAAATGAGAGGGAAATCCTGCACTTTATAGGGTTTCAGAGGTAGTCCTCATCTTACAACAGTTTGTTTAGTGACTGTTCAAAGTTACGGCACTAAAAAAAGCAAGTTTACGACCGTTTTTCACACTTACGACCGTTGCTACATCCCCATGGTCATGTGATCAATATTCATAGGCTTGGCAACTGACTCGTATTTATGACGGTTGCAGTGTCCCGGGGTCATGTGAGCCTCTTTTGTGACCTTCTGAGAAGCAAAGTCAAGATGCACTTAACAACCATGTCATTAACTGAACAATTGTGATGATTCACTTAACAACGGTGGCAAGAAAGGTCGAAAAATGAAGCAAAAATTCATTTAACAAATGTTTCACTTAGCAATGGAAATTTTGGGTTCAATTGTGGTCGTAAGTCGAGGACCACCTGTTTTTCACTTGCATTGTCTTCTTTGAAAGTTTTTGGGAAGCAATTTCTTTTCTATTACGCCTACTAGAAATAATTTAGAAGGGGAAAAAAAACCACAGGGAATTATTTTTTCGATGGAACAGTTTGTAGAAGCATTTACCTCAGAACAATTTACCTTGTTCTGAGAAACAAACCTTGACAATTTTAGGATGGATGAACTCTCAGAATTCCCCAGGTCTTTTTGCTAAGAAAATGTTCTTTTTCTTCAAAAGACCCAAATCTTGTGGGCTGTCTTTTGAATATCCTTCCTCACATTATAAACTTTCCCTCCTCTAAAATATTTTGTGCTCTGCAAAAATTAAGGGATCCTCAGGTCTATACACAAACTTTGTAGGAGTTCAATATTATATATTGAATATTATATATTCAATATTCAATATATATATTCAATATATTATATATTCAATATTGTATACATGTATATGCGTTTGAGTACACTTCCATGCATCCACAGCTCAGAGATGGTATTCAGCAGGTTCTGACCGGTTCTGGAGAACCGGTACTGGACATTTTGAGACTGGTCCCATCCCCCTCTATTCTCTGCTCCTGAGTCCCAGCTGACCAGCTGGGTTGTCTTTTGTTGCCCTACACAGGAGAATGGAGCTGGAAAGCAGGCTAGTGGGGTAGGGAGGGAATGGGGATTTTACAATAACCTTCGCCCAGGAGTGGGGAGGGAATGGAGATTTTGCAGTATCCTTCCCCTCCTACGCTCACCAAGCCAAGCCCACAGAACCAGTAGTAAAAAATCCCACCACTGCCACAGCTAGTCCTTAACTTACGACTGGTCGCTCAGCAATAAGAAAAAGGGACTT